GATGGACCCCAGCGTCCTCCCAGCATGGCCTGTCTGTCCCCAAGCCCCGGCCACTGTCACCGGACACCAGCATGAGTCAGGCTGCGAGCGGGGACCGAGCCAGGTCCCCACAGGGAAGGGACAAAAAGGGTCCCTGTCCCCAAAAAGCCACCCTGGCTGGGGGAAAAGCCCCCTGTTCTCCCTCCAAGGGTGGCTGCAAGCAGGGAAAATGGGGAGGAAAAGGAGCCAAAAGCAGCACGCAGAAGAAAATGGGGAAAGCGAGAGGCGAGCGCCTGCTGCCCGGCATGGTGATCCCTTACCCGAGGCCGAAGCAGCTGAGGAGGAGGAGGGTGAGCGAGCCAAGACGGCGGCACGATGCGGGGACGGCTGCTTCTTCCACATGGCCGCAACGCCCCGCTACGGCCACCCTGGCCCCATCCCCGTCACCTATAAATAGCCGGTAACGGGGAGGACCGGCTGGCTTGGAGGGGAGGGTGCTGGCGGCTGGGTGACCTTTTTCCTTCCCTAATTTTGGCAGGGAGGATCACCGCCCCTGACTGCCAGCTCCGCGAGCTCCTTCTCCCCATCTCCGTGCCCTGGGGACGGGATGCTCTGCAGCACCCTGAGGATGGGATCCCCTCCAGCACCCCGGGGACCACAAAAGCATTTAAGCCCCCACTATGGTGAGGCTAAGCCACGTTGGGGACATGCAGCGAGGCCGGGACACACACGCCGGATCCCCCGGGCAGCCCCGGCCGAGCCGCGAGGCCGCCCATCGGGATCCTACCTCCCCCGTGATGCTCCAGGGAGACCCTCGAGCTCCAACGGGCAGGCGGCTGCTTTTCCGCCTCCGCCGCCCTCCTCCTCCGCTCCCCATCCCCTACGTGACAGCAGGAGGGTTAGGAAAACACCCCAGAAATCGGTATTTCAGGGCAGATCCTGCTCTGCGTCCAAGGGGGGCACCCATGGGTGCTGGTGTGGTGGGGTCACTGTCCTGCTCCCAAAAGGACATGGGTGCTTGGAGCAAGGAGCGAGCTGAACTGACCGAGCTTGCAGGGGGATGCAAAGAGTGAAAAAATCAAATAAGAGCTTAAAATGCAGAAAATAAATCAGCAAAAGGAAACGCTGAAAGCCGTAAGGATTCATAATGAATTTTTTAAAAAAGAAAAACTCAAAAAAGGCATTTTTTTTTCCTCTCAGAAGCAAGGAGGGGGGGGGGTTCCCCGCTTACCTGGCACTTCTTTCCGGTGCAGGAACGTCACCTTCCTCATCACCGCAATCTTGGTCTTCTCCAAACCGTCCTTGGTGCCGCTTTTGGCGGCTTTCATCAGCTGGGTCATCTGGGCAGGGGGACAAGAGGGACCGGGAGGCTCGAGGCAGCACCGGGACCCCATTTCAGGTCCAGATACAGCGGTGCCACCCCCTTGGGGACATCTCCTGCAAGCATCGTCCCCCATTTCGGATCCAGATGCAGCCGTACCATCCCCTTGGGGACTTCCCCTCTCAGCATCATCCCTGTTTTCCCACGCAGCCCAACAGGGAGGAAGAGGAGGCACGTGGCCAGGGAAGAAGGATGCTCCAGCATCCCTGCTCCCTCCGCAGGGACACGGCCAAGCAGGCGCGGGCAAAGCGGGAGCATGCAGCGAAAGCGAAGAGGAGGGAGGGAAGGGAGGCAGGAGCGCATCCGTCCCCTCCTCGCGGCCGGGGTTTTATGTGCCAGAGAGCAAAGGGTGGGGGGGTGTTGGCCTTTCACACCTCAAATCGCAGCATTTTTAGCCCAAGCTGACATTGGCGTCGCCTTCCCAGCCCAAACTGGTCATAAACTGCCAACCTGGATGGTTTGGGACTGGGAAAGGCTTTGCACTAAGTTTCTAACATCTCCCAAGAATCTCCTTCCCCACCTGATTTCCACCCTGTATCGGGGGAAAAACCTTCTCAGATCCATCTATCCCGTGGGCAACCTCGCTTCGTCCAAAAGCCCCTTTAAAAAAAAACAAAACACCCCAAAAGCAAATGGTTTGGGCAGCTGGAGGCTGGGGAGCTGCAAGACAGATGGACATGAGAGGCAGCTTTGCAGTGCTTAACTCCATTTTTTTTCTCGTCTGGGGGATAAAATGGGATGAATTCAGCCTGGATAAACTCCAGGAGGGTTGAGTTTTTTTTCTCCCCTCCCTGGGAAATTTGGGGGACAAGGGACAAGGGATGGAGGAGGGACAGTACCTTCCAATCGTACTTCTGCTTCAGCTCCTGCATGTCTCTCCCCCCAACTCTTAAAGCCAGGATGTCCCTCTTAGTCCTGGCGTATCTCTCCTTTAGTCTATTCAGGTCTGGAGAAAGCTGAGCCCAAAGCAAACCAGGCGGGAGGAGAAGGCAGAGGAGGCGAGAGAAGGCAGAGAAGAGATCCAGGTAAGCAGCCAAAAAACAAAAGAGGAGGAGAAATCATCCCAAAGCAGCACAGTACAGGCAGCATCTTCCCAAAATCTGACTTTGCTCAAGCTGGGAAGGGAGCAAGCGTGGGGAAAAGCAGCAGCCATGCTCCAGCAATGCCGAAATGCAAAAGGAAAGGGAGGGGAAAAAAAAGGGGAAGGAAGAAAAAAAAAGAAAGAAATGAAACCCCCGAAGTTTTGTGCCGGCTTTTGCACCGGCTGACCCCGGGAACTGCAGCATCCTCTGCTTCACCATCTGCGGGAGCAGCCGGGCGTGATGCTCTGGTGCCTTTAAACAAGCAAACCCAGGGAAAACAAAGGAAAATAATAATCAAAAAATAAATCCAAGCATTACCTTGGGCTGGAAGGATGCCCGCTGCTTGGCTGGCTCGGCCTCCGGCTTGGTTTCCTCGCCCGAGTCCTCGCTGTAGCTCTCGAACTCGCTGGAGCTCCAGCCCAAATCCTCGCCCGCCTGCGGCCCCTCGCCGCGTTGCACCTCCTCGTAGATCAGGCTGCGGCCCGTCCCCGGGTCTGGCAAACAAAAACCGGCTCCTTTCCCTTCCAGAAAGGTGATTTCCCCCTCCCGGGCACCCACAGGAGATGCCCCAAATCCTCAGGGTCTTGCAGCCCCTCTGGGAACACATCTGCCTTCATCCCTCCCAAATCCCAGATGCTTTCCCAGGGTTATCCCCCTCCTCATCCTCTTCTAGGATGAGTTTCTCCTTCCCGGAGCATGCCTCAGTTTGCCTGCCTGGAAAATGGGCTCATGGTCCCTGGGGAATGGAGGGGGGAAGGTCTGTCCCTACCGTCCTGCTCGGCATCGAGGGTTTCACAGGGGACATCGTCATAGATCACATCGTCCTCCACTGCCGGGAACTCGAAGCGCTCACCTTTGGGGGGACAAACCCCCACCAGGGACTCAGGTGAGCACCCAGGGATCAAGCCAGGATGGAGAAATCCTTCCCAAGCCTTGGCAGGGCTTTTTTTTTTCCAGCATTTTAACCCACCTCGGCAGATGCTTTTCCTCTTCCAGGTCTGGGTACCGATGTGGGGGTCTCCACCAGCCTCCCCATTGCTCACCCCCGCTGGCAGCCTGCAGGGAAGGCGGTCAGGGAGCACCCTGGGGTGCAAACCCACCCAGATCGGGTGCAAACCCCGCCAGAACGGGTGCACCCAGGCCCCTGACCCCCCCATCACCCCCCTTCCTATTACAGGGGTTCAGAAGCACAGAATAAAGCTTGTATCGTGTCTCCCCCCATCACACGTCTGCTTCTTCGTGGATTTTGGGGCACCCAGGTTTTAGGGCCACAATGCAAAAGACCCCAAAATGGCTTTTTTTAGCCTCAAACCGCGTGCTGCTGGAGGGCAGGAGGATGCATCGGCATCGGGGAGCACGGGAGAGGGTCCCCATCCCTGGCGGGGGTCCTGCCCCTTGCCGCGCCCCGTGCGCGCTCCGCTGGGGGGACAAGCTCCCTTTGCAGCCAAATTTGCATCTTTTCCCCTCAAATCTGCAGCTGGGGTGAACACCAGCCCCCTTCAAACACCCAGCCCAGGGGGTTTCCTCAACCAAGGGGTTAACCACAGACCCCCGATGGTACCCAAAGCCCCCACAGATCCCCAGGGCTGCGGGGTGCACCCCAAAACCTTGGGGCTCTCCTGTTTGCAGCCCCTTTCACAAGCAATGGGAAGAAGTTGGGGAAACTGAGGCACGGCGCCAGGCTGCAACATGTCAAATGGGGGGGACACACAACCCCCAAAGCTGTGTTTTCCTCCTCGAGGCACTCAAAGTCCCCCCAAATCACCCCAAAACCCCACGTACCCTTCCTGGGTCTCCGGCACCAGGCCATCTGCGGAGAGGAAAGCAAAGAGAAATGGCGTTGGCACCCAGGCTTGCAGCGGTGCCACCCTGGGCACCCAAAGGGGACACGGTGGGGACATCGGGGACCCCCTGCCAGCGCTCCTCACCGACGGCGGAGCTGGCGGCACGTCGCCTGCGAGGGGGTGCCCGGAGGACCGCTTCGCCGCTCGGCTCGGCCGCCAAATCTTCTTCCTCCTCCTCCTCTTCCTCGCTGTCCTCAAAGTCGAAGGCTTTGCCAAGGTCCTCCTCGCCCTGGGGCAGGGGGCTGGGGAGCTCTGGGGCGAGGTGGTCACCTGCGAGCAGGAACGATGTCACCTGGCGTCCCCGCCACGGCGCTGCTGTACCCCAGCAAGGAGGGAGGGACGCAGGCGATGGCGGGGGACGGCGGGGAGCGTCACACCCCCAAAAAACACACGATGCAACAGCCCTGCGTGCTTTTGTGACCCTGAGAGGCTCCGATGGGGGTGCGTAGGATGCCCCCGGGTGATGCACTCCCCTTTCTGCACAAGACTGGGTGTCTGTCCCCCCCAAACCCCCTCCCAGCGCGTTGACAGTACCTACTGCGGGGTGAGGGGACAGCTCGGACGAAGCCATGGCGCGGGGGGTCCGGATGCTCCGCCTGGGCCCTTCCCCGAGGCTTTCCTGCGGGAGAAGAGGAGAAATGGGTTGAGAGGGGAGACCTCCCCCCCCAGATCCATCCCGGGGAGAGGCGGCAACGTGGGGAGACCCCAGGTGCGATGGATCCAGCTCCGGCTGCTGCAAAGCCTTGCAAGGAAGCAGAAATGCTGCTCCCAGGTCCCAGTTTGAGCGGCAAATCCAGCCTGCGCATGGTAAATCCACCCCGTGCGCAGCAAATTTATCCCGTGCACGGCAAACCCAGCCCCAAGCATCGAGCCTGAAGGTCTCGGAGGGTGGGAAGCGCCAAGCATCCTCCTTGCAATCGATGGCTCATCCGCTCCGGTAACCAGAGACGTCCGACACGACGCCCTGAAAGGTCAGCAAGAGGAAGAGGAAGGACGGAGCGGGGACCCCCCGTGCTCGAGGGACGATGAGGCGGAGAGAAACGACGCCTGAGAGGCTGCAAAGAGCAAAACGGGGCCAAACGCTGCTAATTCGGTCCTGCTGGAAGCAGCAACCGGTGCACGACAGCTGCTGCCATGCTGTTCCGAAGAGCCGTGACCCCCCCCAGGATGATTTCTCCCTTGCCTGGACCCTCATTTCCCCTGGGAGGGGGATAAAGGGGATGCACAGCCCCGGGATGATCCCAAAAAAGGATCTATTTGTTCCCTCTGTGCCAAAACCCCTTAGAGCTGCAGCACAGCATGGGTTCAATTGCCCCACATGGGTTTGCATCAAGCCATACAGCTTCAGGGCCATATATATATATATATACCTATATATATATATACCTATATATATATATATACCTATATATATATAGGTAGGTCTAAGGCAGAGCAGGAGGGAGCTGAGGTCTGGGGCTCCCTCCCAAATTCACCTTCACCCCTGGAAAATGAGCTGTAAACCCCTTGCAATCACGGCACGTGCACAAGCTGACGCTGCAACCCCCCCAGGCTGCAAAGTGCTCAGCAACCCCAACCCCGTCCCACTGCAAAACCCCCCCCCAAAGCATCGAGCAAACACCCATCCCACCCTTTCCCAGCCATAAAACAACAAAAATAAATCTTTTTCCCCTCCTTGACCTGCGTTATGCTGCAAATATCCTCTTCCAGCTACTTTTGCAACGAGCTCCCTGCCTCCGTAAACACATGAATAGGGATTTATTTGGGAGGAGGACCCGAGGACGCTTATTTTTCCTCCGTGAACTCTTTTCCTGGCCCTGGAAGCAGAAAGGGGCTGGCAGCCGAGGCTGCTCTCACATGTCACCTAATCTGCTTCCCATTAGCGTGGGAGCAGGCGATTCCCTTCCCTCCCCCTTTCACAAGCTCCGGGTTTTATCCCTACGGATGAGATGCCAACCGAGCCCTAAATCCACCAGAAACCAACCCCACCAGGAGACGCCGCGGAGCTGAGGACCACAGGAAAAAAAAAAAAGCCATATTTCTACAGCGATGCCTTAAAAAAAAAAAAAAACAAACAACCAAAGCAAGGAGAAAATAACGCCCGGGTAAAATAAACCCAGCAGAGAGATGCTGATGGTTTGATCCAGAAACCAGTTTGCTTACTGGTTTGGTTCACCCTTCCAGCAACCTGACGGCTTCTGCATTCGGAGAGGGGAGCGGGAGGATGATGCACAGCCGGGCCCTGCCGCTCGGCCCCGGTTTTATCCTGCCAGCGGGGCGGGAGAAGGTCACTTCCCATTTTGACAGTTGACATAAGCTCCCATCAGCCTGATTTGTCCCAGGGCTGGTTATTTTTCCAGCCGCGAGCACGCCCGCCGCCGAGGAGAATTACCAACTCTCCAAAACAACCCGCCACGACCTTTAATTGCTAAATTAAAAAAAAAAAAAAAAGAGGGTTTTTTTGCATAATTTTTCATAGCAAAACTGCTGTCAGGGGTAGGAGTAGCCAAATGCATCCCATGGGATGGGGAAAAAGCTGGTGGGAATGAGCTGCCCTGCCGGGGAGATGCCCCCGGAGCAGACACGGATAGCAAAAAGGGGATGCAGAATAATCCAAGAAGGATGTGGGGATGCAGAATAACCCCAGAAGGATGCAGGGATGCGATGTCATCCTCGGAAATAAGGATTTAAAGCCCGCGGGAGCTGCCGCATCCTCGCCCTGCTGCCAGCAAACAGCTCGAGGCAGCATCACGAGCCGGGTTTCAGCTCCGTCTCCCTCCCAACCTGGGCGGGGAGGAAAAATAAATAGAGCTCGATCTAAATAAAGGCAGAAAAGCAGGGCCATCTGCTAAACCCAGCCCGACCCTTCGCCTAGCAAGCCAGCAACTATTTGGCTTTATTTTGGTTATTTTTAGCCGCTGCGATGGAGCGACAGGTCCCAGCTGGCAGGGACGGCTGCCAGCCCCGGGGGACCGCTTAAAGCATCCTCCACCCCGTCCCCCTTTTTTCTTAAATAGAGGGGTTTGCAAAAAAGGAAATAAAATAAAATCCAGACTACCGCAGCAGGGATGCAGGCAGGATTTACCCTGGGAATCCCTCCCGCTCCTCTCCGCATCCCCGCCTCATTAATCGCTCCTTAGAAATAACCCCGCCGCTATTTCTAAGGGATGGGGAGGGCAGAAATGAGAATTGGCTTTTGCCTCCCAAGAGTTTCCTCCGACTCCTTATTAATTCCTCCAGCCGATGGTCCCGCACCCCAGCAGCGGTTCCAAGGCTTATTTCACCACCTGGATGATTTTCCACCATCACCTTGGCCAAAAAATAGAATTAATTCAGATTATTTCCAGCCCGCTGGATGCCGGGGAGAGCAGCGCGGTCCCCAGGATGTTTCCTCTCCCAAATCCCAGTCCTTTAAAAATAATAATTTTTAAAAAAATCAGCAGATCTTTGCTGCAAGGCCAGTTTTTTATCCAGCCCTAATTGGGTCGGTGCGGCACATTATCGGTGTTTTAAGGAGCGAGTGGTTTATTTCCCAGTTTTCCAAGGAATTCGTTGCGGAGATTTGAAGGCGGCGGTGTGGGAATGAGGGCTCCAGTGAAGAGAAATTATCCTGCGTCTTCAAAATTCCCCCAAATTGGGCATTTTGATGCAGCTGCGGTTGGCGGAGGCGGCAATAAGGGGTGGCTCGGCGAGCGGTGGGAATGGAACGATAGCAAAAAGATGGGGGTTTCCCCCTAAAAAAAGGCAAAATATGGATTTTTTTTTTCCAAAAAAATGGGTTTTCCCAGAAAAAATCCATGAAAATTCAAAATTTAAGGCAATTTTGTGATTATTTTTTCATATAAACTCTTGCCAAAAGGCATCAGCTTATGGGAAAAGCTCTTCCTGAACACAGTGTTTCCCTCTTTTGCCTTGAAATGGCTCTTCTGGGCAAATATCCCGCAAATATTCCAGTTAAAAACCCAAGACCTGGAAAACTGCCGCTGTTCCCCTTTTTATTTTCCTTTTCAACATCACCAACGAACCGGAAAAAATCCATCCCTTGTCCAGCTCGCGCCGTGAGAAGTGCAAATGAAGGGAAAAAAGGGGGGAAAAAAAAAAAAATCAGTAAAAAATCAGAATTATAGCACTTAAATAAAAAAATAGAGCCTGTTTTGCAAAGATTTCTTGCAAACAGACCCAAAAAGCAAGAAAAAAAGCCTTATATATTGCCCAAACCCTCCCCACTTCGATGCTTACCCCAGTCTCCACCTTTTGGTGCTTTGCAGAGGGATTGCAAAGTTCACTCGCTGCGAAACTGTCCCAGAAACGAATTTGAATTTTAATCAGAAATAACAAGAAAAAAGCAGAAAAATTGGGGTTTTTTTTTCCCCTATTAGTGTTTCCAGCTCAAAATTCCCAGCAATTTGGGGGTTTGCTTTATCCCAAAGCTTCAAATTAAAACCTCTCCCACCCCTTGCAAGTGATTTTTCCTCTCGCCAACGCTCTGGGGTCACTTTATTTTGGCTGAAAAGTGACCCAAAAATCAGCATCAGGTGGCAACACCAACGGATTTGAGATCACCCTCCCCAATATTCTTAATTTCTCTCCCTCTTTTGCAAACACCTATTCAAGCACCCCATAAAATGCTGCTTTTTCCACCCTGTAAATGCATTTCTTCACTTTTTTTTGCTGGTATTTTGGGGCAAAAGCTGCTCTTTGCAACCCGGCGTCTCGCTAAAACACACTTAATACATTACAAAAATATAATAAACTGGTGCAAACAGAGGGGGGGAAAAATATTGCAGCGACTTCCCCCCCTTTGCAACCCTTGCAGCGTGCAATGCAACCTTGCACCCTGCAATGCAACCTTGCACCCCAATGCAACCGGTGGCCAAAAAAAAAAAAAAAAATCACTAAAAAGGGGAAAATTATCAATATTTGCTGTTAAAATCATCCTGAAAGAAGCTCTCAGCCCCCTAAACCTGCGGTTTTCCCGCAGGTGCTGCAAACCACAGCCGGGAAAACCCGGGAGGGATTTGCAACCATTGCAGAGTTTGCAAGAAAATGGGGTGAAAAAGCCCAGGAATGGGTGCGGGATAAGCCTGGTGCACCGATAACAAGACGTTAATGCTCGCCTCCTCCCTCCCCATTGCTTATATATTTAGAAGCAATTAAAAAAAATAATATATACATGTGTATGTGTGTGTATATATATATATAACAAAAGCCCCAGTCGCTGGCGGCAGCGGGGAGGCAAAGGATGACCTCCTCCCCCTGCAAGAGGATGCAATAACCTATA